TCGACCGATACTTCGCCGAGAATTCACGAAGTACTGTTTATAAATCGTCTCTGAGTATCGTTTATAAATACGGGCCGAAGTGTAATAAAAACAGAACTGACTTGATTAGTTCACTAAGGCCTGTTTTAGAGTTCATCAGATCCAAACTCGTCGTTGTTGTGCCGCTTTATTACTACATTAAGAGTCCTCTCCCTGCTTCGTGTTTGTGCCCGCCCTTCAATGTTGTTATACATGTTAGGAGCTTTTTAATGACGATCTTGGGAGATGTTTTGTTCGTTCTTTGTGTGTGCTCGCGAGTGGTTAGTCCCTTCGTGAAATAAGAACGAGCTTACCATGTATTATGGATTGTGACGCCTATAAACGTCGTTCTCTGTTCGCAGATCTGACCCAACTTGTCCACACTAAAATTAATGAATCCGGTTGGTTTTGTTCCCTTAAGCATTTTCCCTAACTTTTGCGCTGCGAACAGCGAACGACATAGGAGGACGTCTGTAATATCGTCGTTTCTCTGGTCCAGGCATTAAGCGAGGAGGGACCGGCCACTCAGCGCTCCCCGTCCAGCTTCGTCGGCTACGCTCACCCTTCTTCCGCATGCCACTGAGTCCACGTCCTCCGATCTACATGCGAAATAAACAGTGCCGTCTTAACGCGCGAGCATGTATTATATTTGCGTATTTATGCGCATCTTAGAGACTTGAACCAATTGTTTTTAGTTCGTTTTTCTCATCGGAATGGTCAACTAGTTTTGGTCGGTAAGCGCAGCTTTTTTTCTTAATAACAGTGATAACCGTTCATGAAACTGCGAAGCTATTCCGAAAATCCATAGTTTAATTGAGGGCAAACGAGTGTACATTAAGCCGCAGACGAATTATGATGGATTGCTAGGCTTTTCTCTAGAAAAGTCTCAGTTGAATCTGGTAGATAGTGATTGAAACTCGGCAATAGGCTGTAGTAGTATTTCTAGTTGATTCACCATTATATCGTTGTTCCAACATCAGTTTTCCAACCGGCAGCTACTTGAGCAGTTGCCTAAACTGACGTTGGAATATCCATATCATCTGATAGAATTAGATTAGCAAATATTTCTGTTATTATGAGACTGATATCAGTCGGTTTTTAGTTAGTGCAATTGATAATTCACACTGTTTGTGTAGTAGAGTGTTACTATATTTGTTATTTTACCGAATAGTCCAAGTCAGAAAAGTTTCTAACTCACTAGAAGAGCCCTATTTGTTGTTTGTAAACTTTTGAATACAAATTTTAATATTGTGTGAGGGATTTTGATTGAACTTGCAGCCCTTATTGGCCGGACTACGGTGACACAAGTTCCGCATGTTCACGCCACTAACCAGCCGATCTCATGCTCATTTTGGCTTCTTAACACACAACACCCACACAGTGACGGACATTCGTATTGTTTGTTCTTTCTCTGTCCTCCTTCAACTCCCACGTCTTAATTTGCAATTGATCCTGTTCTGTTTGGCACTCCCGCCCCACTACTAATTTCATTTTGTCTTTCTTACGTTTCATTTTGTTGTTTTCAGAGCGTTAGAACCCGGCCAACAAGTTAAACACAGCAATTCACCTTTACCTTCAGTGGGGTAAGTCTAAATTTACGGTGGGTGGAAGTAAATAGGCGCGCGTCCCTTGCGATCTTTCTACTTATGTCAGTCTTCAGATCAAAGTTAATGAGGCCCAAACAAACACTGAACAACTGTTTGATGTTAGTGTAGCAATTGTGTTTTGGGTGCGTGTCTTGCTACATGTTTAGACTTGCACAGAGCAACATTGACAATTATTTGTTTTTTTTTCCTGCTAATGCTGTTGATGGGGCGTAATAAGGGCGTATCTGTTGCAGGGTGGTTAGTGGCGGCGGCGGCGGCGGCGGCGTCGGTAGCGTCGGCGGCACCCAGAATGAGGAGCACGTGAAGCCCAGATCGCTACGTTTCACGTGGTCAATGAAAACCACTTCCAGTCGCGACCCAGCTGAGATTATGGCTGAAATTCGAAAGGTGAGCCTGCCATTTAACTGAAGAGTTGTGGGTGCGCTATGAACTCCCGGACTGTGCCATAAATATAGACGTTGCTTAGTGTGGACGAATAATTAATTGCGCCAGTCAAATAAAATACCCTTCAGGGAAAAGGACAAGAACGCAGTCCGGGGTGATGGTGGCAAACGTCGTGTTGTAGTATAGAAGGTAGAAGGAGATGCTATTATTATCACCAGTAAATAGTTGACTATTTAGGCTTCGTTAGAAAAAAGCAAAGTAGACTTTGATTGACTGACCACCGTTTGTTTGTTGTTAGGTGTTAGATGCGAACAATTGCGACTACGAGCAACGCGAAAGATTCTTGCTGCTTTGCGTGCACGGCGACCCGAACACGGACAGTCTGGTCCAATGGGAGATCGAAGTGTGCAAGTTGCCTAGACTGTCGTTAAATGGCGTGCGATTTAAAAGGATTTCCGGTAAGCAAATATTCTTTTGTTTGTTGCGTTAGTGGAAATTTGCGTTATTCACATCGCGCACAATGCTCAGGAATCTTTTGTAAGCTGTGGTGCGACGAGTCGCGTCAAATTAACATTAAACTAATCGGACAACTAAAATCATTTGAGTCCATTTTATTACGGTTTACTAGTAGGTTTAATAGGTCAAGAACATTTTTGCGGTAGTTTTTTAATCGGTTAAGCTGCCGGAAGATGCACGATTAGTTGAAATGCGCTCTTTGGTTTAGGTACCAGCATCGGCTTCAAGAACATTGCTAGCAAAATAGCGAACGAACTAAAACTGTGACTGGTCGTGCCCGAGACGGATCTGCCCACCAATGAGGAACAAGCGATCACATAGTATCGACGACTAACAACTCCGATGTCCGCGATTGTTCGACACATTTTGAATTGCTTCCGAGGGCTAATTTGGGGGTAAGTTTCTATTTATTTTGGTTCAAGTAAAGTGACCAATTCATCAAAAAACCCATTGGCCCTGGGGAGCGAAAAGTGCGCGCCACTCGATTGTAAAACACGAGTTTCTTGTCTCCCAGATCAGCCACACAATATTTCGAATAATGCTCTAAATATAGGTGTTAAGGTTAAAAAACAAATCAACTCTGACTATTATTCAAGCTTGTGATACTTGGAATTAATGAACGGAGAGGAATCTTCTTCGTTCTCAAGACGAGGATCTCCTTTTTCGGTCGTAATTTAATTTTAAAATGAACATAGTATTATGATGTAGATCACGGACACATTTGTCTGCTGAGTAATTCCATCTCAAGTGCTTTTTCCGATTGGGACTCACTTCTGAATGTTGTGCAAAAAGGCAAGTGTAAAACGTGGGCACCTTTTAGATCAATTATTAAGCAAAGTCAGATGGGTTTCTGTTGTTGAGTAAATATTTATTGTAATTAATAATGTAATGCCCATTTATTTCTTTTTTACATATAGAGTGTAATCCCACGATATATTAGTAAGAATGTTTAAATTTAAACAAGTTTACGTCAATTTTCCAATCAAACAATTAAGCAGCTGCTCTACTCATGTTCAGTTATATTAATTCGACTAGTCGAGACAACAAGCTTCATGCCCATCTAGTCGCGTGCATATAATTTTCCATGGGAAATCGAGTATAAATCGCACGCAGCAAAGACAGGACTTTGAGAAAGTGCACCCAGTTTATTTAATTTTCAAATTCGTGTATATAATGTGTGATAATAGCGAGTGTAAGAAGCAATGAAGTCCGAAGCGCGCATCTGTCTATAAAAAATGCTAATCATTAGAATACATAAATTCTTCGTTTTGTTTCTACTCACGTTATGCTGTAGAGAAAGTGATTCGAACGGCAACACTCGCCTCCAGTGGATCGACAAGTGTGCCTGTTTGAATCACTTTCGAAAACACAATCTGTCCCTAATAAGGCCTAACCGCCTCAAGCCGCAAACATCTGTAGAAAGTGTAGGTTGGGGCTGGCAGATACACGACCTTCAAGCTGCTGCTGCTGCTACTACTACTTGTGTTCTCAAATAACTCCTAGATAATTGTGTATCTGCCAGGGCTTCCCCTGTTGGTCTCCTAATGACCTGTTTTAGTCAAAGACCAAGTAACTAGAGAAACAATTCCTTTTTTTATGACATTTCATGAATGTACTTACTGTTCATCTGTCATTTTACTATTACGCAACCTTACCCTATCTGCGCAACCTTGCGTTCATTCTTTTTACAGTTTCCATGTGTAAATATTATAAAAAAAAGTCCCTTAGTGATGGCCCGCAAGACTGTTGGGGTGCGCATTTTATTGGCATTCAATTCAATTTGTATAGTTTCAGCATTCTTTCAATATTCGATAAGTTTCACAGCAAGAAACCCAACACTCTTCTGGGCTGAGGTGCGAGAAGAAGTAAGGTGCGTAATGCCCATAGGACGTTTATATAAAGTAGGCGATACAATAAAAAGTATATTTAATTGTTAGTACAGCCTTAGATATAGTAATGCTGTAAAGAGCAATGTTGCTTTACATAAAAAAAATCAATTCTTTCACTGGGGATGGGCACTTATGTTAGTTAAGCTGATCATTTATAATAAACATAAAATCGAAGGTTGCATTGTTTTAATTCACGTCATTCCCCATCACCTTTAATCTATGGACGCGAAACGCCAGGGGAACAAGGCACAATAAACAATACTCCCTTGCACCCAGAGCGCATTTCCATCGATACAAAATAACGTAACGTTAAACTCCAGCTCCTGATTTTCCTCGCTACCTCTTTAAACATTCTGCTCTCCTGGTACAATCGCGTCTTTCAGAGAGCGCTATCAGTTCTAAGTATTCAGCTCAGTGAGTGAGTACCAGGGTTGCCAGGTCCGAAAATCGAGTTTCGGTAGATAAGCTCGACATTTTTCGGTAGAATCATTTTTCTTTCATTATTAGGGTTGGGTAGTCCAAAACCTAACCAAAAAAAGCTCCATAAAATCGCGCGTTTTTCAAAACTTGAATTTTTAAACTTACACTTTACTTATACTAAAATAAGCATGAGTCAGTAAAGAAGTAAAGATGAAATTGTGCTCGTTTTTAGCTTATTTCTCAACTTAGTTTTCATTAGATTAACCTG